TCTATATATATAATTTCAGATATATTTCAATATATTGAAGAGAAACAAATAGAAAATAAAGTCCTATCTTTCACAATTAAAATTCACTAATATTTTGCTCACTCTCTAAATATATAATTTCAAATATATTTCAATATATTAATGAGAAACACATAGAAAATAAAATCCTATCTTTCACAATTAAAATTCACTAATATTCTGCTCCCTCTATATATATAATTTCAGATATATTTCAATATATTGAAGAGAAACAAATAGAAAATAAAGTCCTATCTTTCACAATTAAAATTCACTAATATTTTGCTCACTCTCTAAATATATAATTTCAAATATATTTCAATATATTAATGAGAAACACATAGAAAATAAAATCCTATATTTCATAATTAAAATTCACTAATATTCTGCTCTCTCTATATATATAATTTCAGATATATTTCAATATATTGAAGAGAAACACATAGAAAATAAAGTCCTATCTTTCACAATTAAAATTCACTAATATTCTGTTCTCCCTCTATATATAATTTCAGATATATATAACTTTGGATAAACAAAATATTCGACCTAAAAGGAATAAACCACGAATTTACGTGAGTTCTAAAGAAGAAGAGAAAAGGTATCGAGGAAGAATGAACGGCCGAGATGATCGTGTTCCATTTTCACGCTTGTTTCGAGGACCCCATAACAAAGTGAAGAAGAAGGTTTCTTTTTGTAAACATTCTTTCCAGCATTCTCTAGACAATTGCACTTTGATTCCAGCCCTATTACGAACCGTTTAGCTGCATTTGCCTTCTTGACAAAGCGACTCGAATCTCTTCTTCGTGCCTCTTCTCCCTTATTCCGCGTACCTCTGCAACGGAGAATAGAATGGCGTACCTTTGTGAAGCCTGTTCGGGACAGTTACGTGGATAATCTTCTCTCGACATATTGCGCCAAAGCCAAAAACGGGCCACGGTTCGTCGAGCATTTGTCGAAGTTGAGCTCTCTCGATTTTCTATTTTCTCGGTTCTCTATATAGGCAGTCGAGGGTCCCAGGATCAACCAAAATTGTTCTGAAAAAGAAATAAAAATATTAGATGATTGAAAAATAGATGATCCTGAAATATTTTGATATTTGTGTCACGTTGTATAATTTATTCATACCTGTCAATCAAGCTTTGAAAGAAAAGTCAACTATAATTATTGATATAAATTAATACCTAGGTATGAAAGAAATATGTTTGGAAATTTGAAACCGTATCTGTTTTTGATACATGATTAATGAAAAATAATCATAATAAAAAGATAATGCTCAAGCAAGAATTCTCACTTTAATTTCCAAATGTTTCTCCTTCTCCTATTCGTTTATTAATTATTGCTTAAGTATATACCTCATTAAATCCTTCAAAACAATCAGTTGCAGTAAAAAATATAGCAAAATTGAAATTTTATTTAAGTTCCTCCAGAAATTTCTTCAACCAAAATTGTTCTGGAAAAGAAAAGAAAAATATTAGATGACCCTGTAATTTTTTGATACTTCTGTCAAGTTGTATAAATTATTCATACCTGTCAATCAAACTTCGAAGAAAAGGTCAGCTATAATTATTGATATAAATTAATATCTATGTATGAAATAAATATATATGAAAATTTGAATTTATTTTGACAATTGAAATTTTTTTGACACATTATTCAAAATTGGTTGCAAAATATGGAATATTTGTCAGACATTTTATAACAATTTCTGTAATACACATAAATATAAAAGAAGACAGTGAAATAACAATTACAAAATGAATGAAAAATAACCGTAATAAAAAAGTAATATTCAAGCAAGAATTCTCACTATAATTTCTAATTTCATTTCTCCTTCTCCTATTCGTTTATTAATTATTTCTTAAATATATACCTCATTAAATCCTTCAAAACAATCAGTTGCAGTAAAAAATATAGCAAAATTGAAATTTTATTTAAATTCCTCCAGAAATTTCTTCAACCAAAATTGTTCTGAAAAAGAAAAACAAATATTAGCTGAACCTTGCATTTCTGAGCAATTATTGTATATTCAAATAATAATCGAAACACTCTATTCCACATATTAAAACTACATTATTTATTTCTTTTTAATTTTATAGTAAATTGTTATTGTATATATTAGAATTTATTATTAGAATAATAATAATTCTATATAAAGTATTATTAGAATTTAACAGTCAAAGAAATTTTTTAGCGCCTTTAAGCGCCCACAGCAGTCAAAGGGTTAATTATTTCTTACATATATACCTAATTAAATCCTTCAAAACAATCAGTTGCATTAAAAAATATAATAAAACTGAAATTTTATTTAAATTCCCCAGAAATTTCTCATAATACCTGATCCATGGCTACCAAATTTTCCTCTTCCTATTCTTTCCTTAATTATTCGTCGAATTAATCACAGATCCTTCTCCCTATCCGGAGTCTATCGTATCTATCAACCCCCATAGCTACAAAGTGCCTAGCCAGAGGAAAAAATCCACCCCGTGGTCGATATCATCTAGACGGTGCTTAAAACCGGTTATAGGGTGATCCAGAGATCGAGAGATCCAATCTGCGTAATATTACGTCGGTTATGACGGATTCTTTGCGTAATTCGTGCACTCATACGGCGAGTGCACGTACACGGGCCACCCCAAATCGGGGTTCCAGCGCGAGGGGTGCTCCCATCACAGAGGGATCTGGCATGAGATAATTCAAGATGGAGTCAGAGAGTCAGGAAACGGCGCATCTGTCCGCGCATTATTCCATCGTGTACCGTTCTGTTTAACCTCCTCCACATAGGTATACCCATCCACGGTTCCTACGGGGATGCTTTCTTCTCAACCTTCGCACTCTTCCCTACTTTCTCCCCTTTGTCTAGTCTTGCATCGCTGTTTCGTTCTTTCTTGAATTCTTGTACCTGGTATTTCTCATTCGCGCATCAATGGATCACGAGAAAGACGGTTTTGGTGAAGATGATGTTTGGTTAGTGTTTGGTGATGTTTGAAATGACACGAGGGTTGCAATTTTTGTGACATTTTTGGAATTTTGACTTGTACTGCTTTTTTTTGCAGCCACTTATTAATTACCATCTTGTCTCGCGAGTTTGATTACCTAGAACCACCAAGAGACTGCTTTTGAACACCAAACAACCACACTTTCTGTTTTAACTAGGCAAAAATCAAAAATATAATAAAGGTATAAATATAGTTACACAAATATTTCTAAAATTCTCACCCCCGTAAAGATAAAACAAAGTGTGCATCAGAATACGAGTCTTTACTCGTCAAATATATTCTCTCCAAAAATTTTCTCTGGAAAAAATCAGAAAGATAATAACATAAATATACAAGTTACAACGCTATTTCTAAAACTCTCACCCCCATGAAAATAGAATAGAATATACATCAGAATCCAAATCAAGAAACCTTGTTTCTAAACACCAAATATTTTCTTTCTGAAACCTTCTCTTCTAGGAAAAATCAGAGACATAATAAGAACATAAATATTTCTAAAATTCTCACCCCCAAAAAATAAAACAGAATATTCATCAGAATCTATAATACACCAAAAAACCTAGTTTCCAAACACCAAATACCTTGTCACCGAGAGATTCCCCCATGGAAAAATCAGAAATATAATAAGAATATTAAAATAGTTAAATAAACAATTTCCAAAATTCTAACCCCCATAAGAATCAAACAGAATATGCATCAGAATCCATATCAAAAAATCTAGACTCCAAAAGATTCTACCTACGAAAAAATCGGAAACACAATAAGAACGTAAATATTTCAAAAACTCTCACCCCCATGAAAATAAAATAGAATATGCATCAGAATCTAAATCAAGAAATCTAATTTACAAACACCAAATACCTTATCTCCAAAAACTCCTCCCTTGGAAAAAATCAGAGACATAATAAGAACTTAAATAAACAAGTTACATAAATATTTCTAAAATTCTCACCGCCATAAAAATAAAGCAAGATATTCATCAGAATCTCTAATACATCAAAAAACCTAGTTTCCAAACACCAAGTACCTTCTCACAAAGAGGTTCTCCCATAGAAAAAATTAGAAATATAATAAGAACATAAACGTAGTTATACAATACATTAAAACATTTCCAAAGCTCTCAGCCCCATAAAAATAAAACAAAATATGTTAGAAATCCATATCAAAAGGTCTACACTCCAAACACCAAATACCCTTTCCCTGAAAGATTCTATCTACGACAAAATCGGAAACACAATAAGAACGTAAATGTTTCGAAAACTCTCACCCCCATAAAAATAGAACAGAATATGCATCAGAATGAAAATCGAAGAAACCAGCAGGGACACGCAGATCGAGTCTAATCCGAGCGTAAACGGTAGTGGAAATTAGCCCCGTTCACGCGGATGGTGATCCCGGATGGTGACAAGAGGTCCAGAGCAAAGGGGTGGAAGTGGCTTCGTTTTCACCTCGCTGCCGGTTGAATAGCACGGCACAAAGGGTGAGGAGGGTGGGAGACATCTGACGTGCTCGTTTCGTTCGCCACCTTTCCCCTCTAGCTGGCTGACGTTCAACCCCCGGCCGGTCGGGGAGGAACCAGCTCCTTTCGAAAGGACCGCCCTTTTTCGAGGGTAGGGAAGCTGGCGGCCAATAGAGCGTCCCGACGTCGTTCCACCGTTTGTTTGAAAACGGTCCGGAGCCGTGCTTAGCATCAAGAAGTCCTGGCTGCGATGACTGTCAGTCACGTTTCATCGCGGAGTTAGCCCTCTGGCTCGAGTGCATCCCCGGGGACAGGAAGCGACGTCGAGTAGTCCTTCGATTCTAGCAAGTCCGACGTGTCACATGCCAGTTTTCAGTCTTAAACGGACCACTCGCGACAACGTTCTCGTGCCTCAGTGAATCGGAGTAAACGGATTTTGTTGCTCGTTCGTCACCCTCGCGTTCTAACTGCTTCTGTTCGCCGACGTTCTGTGGTGCTGTGTTGTGGAAGACGTCAGGGTGAAGATGCAGAACCAGGAGCCACAGATAGGACATATGCCTGTGGCGCAGCCCAAGATGCCTGCTTCGTCCAGTAAGTTCGGATTTTTATTTTCCTCTCTTTCTTATTCTTCCTTATTTCTTCTCTTTTTTCATGGTGCATCTATTGCACGGTTCTTGGTGACGATTGTGGGGGTTGTTCGATTAGATTTCGTGGAATAGATTGATATTTTTTATTTGTTTCGAAGTGTCTTCTTTTCTTGCTCTGATTTTTTGAGGATTCGATGGAGGGTTAAATAAAATAAACGATTCTGGAATTTTTAACGAGTTTGGACATTTTTTGATATTTTTGAGGGAGGTGTGACGTGTATGTGAGGATGATTTCATTTGTGAATATTTGGTATTTAATACTGAATCTACTGTGACCGATTAAATGGCCGGTGGATGAAAAATTGAAATAAGAGGATATATTGATAAGAAAATTGGTTATATGTGATTAAAATATAAATTACGAAGTCGAGTGACTATAGTGAATATAAAAAAAGAAATTCTTTAATCTGTCATTTAAACTGTGATTGTTTAGAATTAACTAGTGTATAAAATATTAGTGCGAGGGTTATTTTTCTATTGAAGGTAATGAGGTATACTTAAGTTAATGGAATTGTCAAAATTATAGTACAATTTAGTATATATTAATAATTAAAATATTAATAATTTAGTATAATACCCTTTCCACTTTGTTGTGGTATTTAAAAAATGAAAATATAATTATCCACGAATTTTCACATTTATTTATAGTTAATACCGAGCAAAATTTTTGCTTTTTTTATTTTTTATTTCAAATTAATATTCTTTATCAATTCGTCTACCCTCAAGCTTAAAAATGATTTTGTATTTTTTATGAATCTTCTGTCTCATTAAAAAGACATTCCAGATATTTCATTTCTCTAATTCACGTAGAACACAAATCTAACAATTGTGCACACTTTACCTGCAAAAATAACTTTTCTAAATTTTTGCAAACATGAAATTCCGAATATTAATACTAAATTCACACTGAACCATTTAATTCGCAACAAATTAAGCGTAAAAAAATTTCTGTTACTATTACCGTCACAAAAATTCTAAATTTCCAAACTTCCAAATTTTAGTACTCTTCGAATCACTAATTTGTCAAACTCAAAAATTGACAATCCGCAAAATTACTTTGCTTCCTTGATTGAAAAAATCCTCCAAAGGGTTCCACCTTCAGCAAGACTCTCGAGCTTGCGGGATTATCGCGTCCTCTTCTTAATCTACAGATTAACGTAATTCCTCCTGCTGGTTTTCTTCGTGCAACGACGTGCGAGGCAAAAAAGGAGGGAAAAAAGCGTATTTTTCGACATCGAATATAACGGTAGCCGTGTTTATCGCGTAGGTGGCAATAAAACAGAGGCCGCGTTTACGACACACATTAGCTCCGAAACCACAGTCATAAACGGCGTTGCCCGCTACCCTTCGAGGTCTGGTGTCACCGTCGATGGAGGTAGTAATTATCCTCTGTACAGAGGATCATACCTGAAGAAAGGTGTCAGTTCTTTTTTCAATTTTTACCACGGGGATTCGCAGGTGATGGGACGTTAACGATCAGCCAAGTTTTGGTGCTCGTAAAAATTAATTTCCTTATGGTCACCGATACCTCTTTCGCCAAATCGACCTGTGCGAACGTGGTGAATTAAAATTTTCCCTCTTTCCCCACAATGTGAACAATGTACTTCAGGTTCTTGGAGCTTTGGGGATTTACAGGAAAATAATCGTGTCCGACGAGAGAGCTCGTGGAATCTAACAAGTTGTGGCCAGGTTGTTTCTCAAAATTGAGTTTAAAAATTGATCCAGATAGACAGAATTATCGTTTAAATTACATAATACTTGGAGATCGATCTACTGTCGAAATTTAGGCGAAATGTAATTCGTCTGAAAGATGTTTTTGTCAAAGTGAGGCACTTTTGATAGGGACAAATATAAAATATTAATATGAAATATTTTAGGATATTTGAGAAATATTTGAGAATTTAATTTAATTTTTATTTAAGAAATTTGGAATTTACTTCAAAAATTTATAGTGAGAAGACGTAGCATGAATAAAAATTCTGTTCTGACTAATTGTAAGACCATACTCCATTTTCTATTTTAATATTTTAGAATAGCAATAGAAGTTTGAGAATTTGTTTGAGAATTTAATTTAATTTTTATTTAAGAAATTTGGAATCTACTGTAAAAATTTATAGTGAGAAGACGTAGCATGAATAAAAATTCTGTTCTGACTAATTGTAAGACCATACTCCATTTTCTATTTTAATATTTTAGATTTTAAAATATTTTTCAAAAAATATTTTAAAAAGTTGTCTGTAAAATATAATTACGTGATATAATTTTTGGTGGTAATGCAAAAGATATAATCTTCATATTCTTTTCTCTTTATCGTTATTAAAATCCCAGTTTTCTTTCAAAAATTTCGAAAAATTTGGACTGTAATAATTATTGAAATGCCTTGTTTAGTATATCTTCGTCTCCCAATCGAAACTATGCACTTTTCATAGTACTATTTAAAAGTACTATTCTCACTCACGAGGCATTAATCATATCGAGAGGGAGGGTTGTTAATTATCCTGCAGCAAGAAAGGGTGCTTGCCATCACGCGGCTAATCTCGTGTGAAACAAATAGCATATGCGGCATTTAAACGGGACGGACGTGCATTTAAATGATTCGTCTGCAGTGGCATTCATCCATGAGAAAATAATGGCAGATGGCCGACACGAACGCGGCAACTACGAATCTCCGTAACAGGTTGTCGTGGGTGGTTGAATTCGAGTGTCATTCGTTGGAAAATCAATGCACATCGTTGCTTAAAATCCAATTCGTTGTTTCAGGAAATTGTTTTAAAACTCACACGAACTGTCTATTCGTTAAAACACATTTTACAAACATTTTTACTTCAATTCGATACTTTTATGGAATATTCAATTCCTATATTTTAATATAGGATAGAAATTTTTGAAGAGGTCTGATTAATATAACTTTATATTATATATATAAATAATTTCAAGTCAGGAAGTGTGGATGATCCTTATAATTTTATTTAAATACTTCTGTATTGTGTAGTTAAATAATTAGATACCTAACTACCTTAAAATTCCTATTTTACTTATTATTTATTACAAAAATAATGAATTTTTGGAAACTATTTAGTCAAATATAATTCATGATTAAAGAAACACGTTTTATACTGATTTTTAAATATTTTAATGTAACAAAGATATTGAGTTACTCAAAAAATTCTCAAATGTAGAAAAATTGCTTTTAAACAACTTTGGAAACTACCCTATACCAATATTCACAAACAGAGAAATATTTTTTAAACCTGTTTTAAGATATACTATGTTAAAAAAATATTTTAATATGTGAAAAACATTCAATTACACATAAAATTCATAAAGATAGATAAATTTCTTTCAAACTACTTTAGAGAGTACTATATATATATATATTAATTATCAAATAGTGTATATTAATCAATATTCTGAGATACAATTAATATTGATATATTTTTAATTAATTTAATTTTAATAATTTGATATTCAATGAAATGTAAAATTTACTGTTATAGAAACATTCTTTTTGAAAATCCCATAGAATCTACCATAAAATAATCAAAGCAATGTTTCAATCACGTCTACAATATTCTAACTAGATCCATTAAACAATCTTCAAAACACCACCAATTTTCATTTAATTAATTTAATTTTAATAATTTTATATTCAGTCAAATGTAAAATTTACTGGTATAGAAACATTCTTTTTTAAACTCCTATAAGATCTACCATAAAATAATCAAAACAATACTCAATAATAAACAATAATCAATCACTTCGACAATATCCTACCAAGATTTATCAAACAATTTTCATTTCTCTAAATTTTCATAGAAACTAGACCTCTCCCCAAAGATCGTGCTCTAATAAAACAGCCCTGGAAAACAATTCTCAGAAGCCTGGGGATATTTTTCATTAATTTTCAAACTTTTGTAGAATCTACCATAAAATAATCAAGACTATACTATAATCACCTAGACCTAGACAATATTCTACATAGATCTATCAAACAATTTTCACTTCTGTAAATTTTCATAGAAACTAGACCTCTTCCCAAAGATCATGCTCTAATCAAACAACCCTGGAAACCTATTCTCAGAAGCCTGCGGATATTTTTCATTAATTTTCAAACTTTTGTAGAATCTACCATAAAATAATCAAGACTATACTTTAATCACCTAGACCTAGACAATATTCTACATAGATCTATCAAACAGTTTTCACTTCACTAAATTTTCATAGAAACTAGACCTCTTCCCAAAGATCATGCTCTAATCAAACAACCCTGGAAACCTATTCTCAGAAGCCTGCGGTTATTTTTCATTAATTTCGTCGAAAATATGCATGTAATTACCTACCTTATCCCAACAACAAAACTCGTTAATCGTTTTGGAAGGGGTGGAACGGCGCTTGCGAGAGCAGATAGAGGAAAATCGCGCGGATCCTTCGCCGTGGGGTGGATCAGAGCTCGCAACCCCTATGGTTGGCGAACAGATGACGAATGATCGCGCGTGCGTCTATCCGTGTGTGCGTGTGTGCGTTGGTGAGGGCGTCCGGTTCTCGACACATGCCGCGAAATTCCCATGCTCCACTAACGATGCGCGTAACACCTGATGGACGGTGACACGATGATACGAACGATGATGTCACCCCAGCGATCGGAGATACCCGAGTAACTCGAACGTTACCTGTGATAGAAACATTTCGGTTAGTATGATTCGACGGTTTCGTGGATTGATTTTTTTATTGTCGCATGAAGTCGTAGCTAGGAGTAGGGGATGAGGAGGGTGGTTTCGGAATGGATTGGTCTTGGAGTATTTCAATATTTTATGGGAAATTAGGGGTTGCTAGAGGAGACGATAATTATTGAAAATTTATTTTTCGTGAATACTTATCTGTCCGTTTTATTGTCCACCGTGACCGGTCAAATAACCGGTATATGAAGAAATAAAATAAGAGAAA